GATGGCCAAGCAGAAACTGGGTTTATGAGTCCCTGTCATCCTCTACAGCTCCAGAGCTGGCCAGAGCAAGTCAGAGGAAGTGAAGAAACCAAGAGCAAAGGTTTCTAATTTAATGTGTGTGTTGGGTGTTTGTGTAAAACATATATTTCTGCAAGTGTTAATCTGCTGGCTAGAGAGATACAGACTTGTTCCTCTTTGTAGAACAGGCTGAAGAATAAAGGTCTCTTGAAAATGTTTCTACTTGTGCATAATCTAGTATATTATCAGAGTCCATTCTTTTTTGTAACTTTATGAAGCTTAGTTAACTTTAAAAAGGTCTTTTTAAACAATATTCCACCTTCTATTTTGCTATCCCAGGAAGCCCTGGCTACCTACGGTGTTAGTTTCAGTCTGTGGCTTAAGGTGTGCCTGATCTGATACCAAAGCTCTGGGAAGCAGGGTTGGGTTACTAAAGACAGAGGAATTGGGAGAGATAATTATGTCATCTCCTTCCTCTCCAATTTATATTGTTAACTCATCTTCTACCTTGGTAAACTCCTGAAACCTGGCTTTTAACTTATCTTCAGCAGTTTCTACCTTTCTTGAATGTAATGCTTTTCTTTAAAATGTTAAGCAAATTCTTCAGCTTCTTCCAGTTTTAGACACCTTTATTAGAACTTTAGGGATTCCTTAAAATGGAATCACCTTAGGAAAGCACTTTAGATAGTGACCTTGTGGCTGGGTCATGAACATGCCCAGTGAGACGTTCTGGCTGATCTGAGAGGATCTGTGTGACTGGGGGTACAGTGTCTCACAGCCATGCCAAATTCTCTATGTTTTAACCCGATACAGAAAGGGTTTGGGAGAGAAGTCCTCATTTCTCTGAAGAAGATGAAACATCTTCAATTCTGTGAGCTCCATCTTTCCAGTGTTTGTGTCTGCAGGGTGTTGCCACACAGAATATGGTCTGCATACCAATGTGTCAGCCAGAAGAAGCAAGGGTTATCGAAATTGTACTGTTTCCCCAGGCTAGGGACTGGTAGTGCTCCAGAAGAACGTACACAGAGAATCTTTCGGTGGTTTGGACTTCCTACCTGATGTGATTTCAGTTCCCATTTTATTTGTTTTCTAAACTTTGGCCTATGTGTAACATGAGTTTGGTGTGGCATAGTTTTTCAAAGAGAGTTCTGGTAAGCTAACTTTTATTTCCTGCTATTCATTCTTCCAATCTGACCTTTTCCTTCTTACGAGTGTGTCTATACAAAGTTGTGTGTGGAAGGAGTCTACATCAGAGAAGAAATCCTTTTGAGTAGAGCCAGGTGCTAGCTGACTCTCCTGTAAAACCACCGGACTGAGGGTAGCTATTAGTGGCTTCTTTTGTATGTGTGGACTGAATGGAGGAATGCTTTTAAAATATTTATTTGGTATGTATTGATACTGCAATGGAAAGTATAACTTGGGATCCTGGGCTGTTGCTATATTGTTTTCCCCCTCCTAACATGAATGTGTGTTTCAATAAAGCTTTTTCACTTGTCAAATGTTTGCATTTATTAGTTCCATAGATGCTTCTGTCCTTGATGTTCTGATTTACTGCTGTTCCTTTTATATGTAGCTTTAAGGGTAAGAATCAGAGTGATAAATGCCCTTCCCTAACCATCCTGTGCTAATGTGAAGATATTTTGTCCTTTCTTGCAGTGTTCCATGGTACTTTTATCAGACTGGTCCTTTGTCCTATATCTTGAAGTCTAAGGAGAGAAGTGAGAACCCATGTTAAAAATGGCATCACTTTTCTCTCTCAGGTACCAAGGGAAGTTTGCCTTTAGGTTTGTAGACCCTCCACTGCTGGAGGGAGGAGAGTCATCTTCACGAAGAAGGTAAGGAAAGACATCCCCTACAATAAGCACTTCCTTCTGGATTCATTGATTTTTCTGGGAAGTGGAGACTTTTCCCTCTACTTCTACCATTTTTTAGTATTGAGAGATAGCTGGGTGTGGTAGCACACACCGGTAATCCCAGCACTCAGGCGGCTGAGGCAGGAGGATCGCTATGTTCGAGACCAGCCTGGGCTACAAAGTGAGCTCAAGGCCAGCCTGAACTGCATAGTGAGACCCTGTCTCAAAAAGCCAGACAGAGAGAGAGAGAGAGAGAGAGAGAGAGAGAGAGAGAGAGAGAGAGAGAAATAATACAGGTGCTAATAACCTATCTCTGAAATGGGGCTCTGAGTTTCCAGATAGAGCCCCAAAGATTCTTGACCTCTTGTTAAAAAAGTTGCATTAACATATACCAAATGCCTTTTGTGTACAGGCTTTATATTTTATTTCATTAATCTCTCCAACTACCTTATGAAGTAGGAAAATTTTCCTTCTTTCAAATGAAGAGACTCGAGCGCACCATCACACAACAGAATTGGTATTTGATTCAAGGTCTGATACTATGAATCATGCTGCCTCCTATGAGAATGATATGCAAAGAGTCAAAGGAAGGGGTGACTAATCTCTTCCCAAATATCTTAGAGAAATGGGTTTAATTTACCAAGTAGGACAATCAAAATGCTTTGGGCAATAGTCATGCGGCTTATTGACTTATAGCCTGTGTTCATGGGGGGGTTAGAAGAGAGGGAAGTGAAGGAAGGAGTAGATAGAGAAAAGTGAAGGAGGGGAAGGAAGAAGACAAGGAAGAGAAGGAAAAAGATAGTTAGGGCCAGGGGGTTTAGAAAGAGAGGAATAGAAATATATAGAGTGCCTGGGTCATGTTAGCCATTTTGGGTCTGGCTATGGGTTCAATTCTCCTATGTCTTTCCCCTGCTTTAGGAGTTGCGAGTTTTTGAGTCATAATTTACAAAGGAGGTTACAATAAAACTTGCCTTGACTACTTAAAATGAGTTAAGAGCTCTTCAGTTGTTTTAAAGTTGTGAAGCATTTATATGTAAGAGTCAGGCTCAGCCAGGTGTGGTCGTGCCTGCCTGTAATCCCAGCACCCTGGAGGAAGAGGCAGGAGGATCTCTGGGACTCTGAGGACCTTCTGGGCTACATGGTAAGTTCAAGGCCAGCCTGGATTGCATAGCAAGACCTTGTCTCAAAAAACAAAAACAAAAAAAGAAAGAGGCAGGCCGGGGATGGAAACATTGTTGGGGAAAAGTAGGCCCCCTCTGTTAATGCTTGAGCCTTTGGCCTGCCACCACTTGAAGTGTTAGTGATAAAGAAAAGGAAAGACCTTTGGAAGCACAGATCTTATCTGACCAAAAATTTCCTACATGAACTTATTGTATTTTGCCTTCTGCCTATAACTTGCCTTTGGTATTCCAAATCTCCTGTATTTCTCTGGAGGGAAGGGACCCTGCTCCTTCAAGTTAAGTCATTTCTTCCATGTTCCATTTCAGCCATCAACTGGCTTTTTAGTTTGCATTTAAAAAAATTGAGATTTCCAGCCAGGTGTGGTGGCACACGCCTGTAAGCCGAGCATTGGGAGCGGAGGGAGGAGGATCGCCATGAGTTTGAGCCCAGCCTGGGCTACGTAGTGAGTCCAGGCCAGCCTGAGCTACATAGGGAGACCCTGGCTCAAAAAAAAAAAAAAAGAGAGAGAGAGTGATTTTCTTTAAAACTCCAGTGGAAGTAGCTTGTCTTTGACTCACTGCTACGCCCATAACCCTGGGCTCCTGATTTATGTCCCATCACTCTGCTTTAAATGAATTTGTTTTGGGCAAGGGGTGCTGAGAGCCTGCTGTTTTTCTCTTTCCTCCTGGAGCCACTCTGATCCTTGAGTCTCAGTAGGATTACTGAAAATGGAACCCTTCGCCTTGGTTAGAGCTTTCAACTCTTCTTAGATGGGAAGTAGGAAGGGAAGCAGAGGCTGGGCGGCACAACGTCTAATAACACTGACTCACAAGTCAGTCTGCTGACGTTTAAATCCTGACTCTGCCACCTTTTAGCTGACTGATCTTAGGCAAATTGCCTTACCTCACTGAGCCTCAATTCTCTCATCTGGAAAAGGAAGCTAATAATTGTATCTACTTTTAGGTTTCTCATGAAGACTTCAGGTTCAAATAATAGTGTCTAAAATAGCACCTTACATATAGTAAATGTTCGAACATTATCAGCTCTGCTTCCTCACCCAGCCTGCTTCCTCCCTGCTCTAGTTTGCCACAGGTGAGCCCTGGGTAAAGCAAAAAGCTGCTGAGCCTAACTGCGACTCTGAGTTCCACGAGTGTTACAGGGTCTTAGCAGCGAGGTGGGGAAAACACTTTTCTTCCAAACACTGACACACCATTGACTTGGACTGAAGTTGGATCAGGGATGTGGGGCTGGAAGTGTAGCTCAGTGTTATACCATGTGCTTAGCATGTGCGAGGTCCTAGGTTCAGTCCCTGGTACCAAAGGAGGAAGGAAAGCAATGAAGGGAGGAAGAGGAAGATCTGGGATTGGTGTGTAGTTCCACTTCCCAGTAGCATGATCTCAAGTTTGCTTTCGGGTCTGGACCACAAGACTTGGATCATAAGACTGTGCTGCTATGTCTCCCACTTGCTTATTGCTCATCTCTTAAAAGTGGATCTCTGAGGAAAGGAATACATGAGGCAGAGTCAGTTTTCTTTCTTTCCTACTTTCAGTGATGCTTTTGAGGTGCTGAAGATCACCAGCTAGGAGGATTCCTCTAAGTTTCCTTAGAGGATTGAATTATCTACCATTTGTTCTGGGGCCTGGAGGCCTCAGCAGGCAAAAGTTCTTGCCCATGAGCCAGTTGGAGGAAACCCAAGGGAGCTTTCTGCTCTGACTAGAATTTTCTTTACAAACTTCCTCCCATGGCAATATTTTCCTAACTCTTGATGAAGCAATGGTTCAGGCAACATTTTTAGCCCAATATCCTAGCAGGTGAAATGACAAAGAGGTTCAAGAGGGTTTTGTAAATCTCTGCCTCCGATGTAGTTAACCTGTAAACTACACTATAGTTGCCTTTGTTGTTTGTTGTGATGGTGCTGCCCCCTGGTGTCACCTCTGGGTAGAGGAATCATTTAAAACAGCCAGTAAGTGGATGAATTTGGGATTTACTTATCTGAAAGACTTTGGAGAACTGGGCAAAGCCCCAGGTTATGAAAGAAAGACCTTCTACCTCCAACGCACTACACAGAGCCTGTCTTCACTCCCTACCTAGCTTCTGCTCCTCCCGTGGAGAAGTAGGGGAAGCTATTAAACAGCCAGAAGAGAGTACCTGAAAAATATCCCAAGATTGGCAGACCTCGCCCACTTCAGAGTACGGTCTGTAGGACTGTGGGAAAACATTTCCTGCTTTTATTAGTTCTCAGTTTTAGCTCACTAGGGAAGCTTTTCCTTTGACTTCAACCATTGCCTAGCTCAGGTTCACTCGCACATATCTCTTTGCTCCTGGCGCTGGATCATCTCCTGGTTGCTCAGCAGATAGTCATCAATGAATGTGAAGATTTCCTCAGGGGTCACAGGTTCCACGTAGCGTTCCCGGTCAATACCCTGCTTGTCAATCAGTACCATGTTGAAGTAGTACCGAGTCAGGCGTTGGAATTGCCTAAAGAGAACAGTCCAAGGAAATATGAGACCTTATCCCGGCATTTGGCCCTCAGGGCTCTACTACCCTCTGACTTTTCACAGCTCAACTGATGGACTAATTCTTTTTCCATCCCATCCCTTGTCCCCATCCCCTCCGCTATTTTTCTCAAGTCCCTTTGCTTTTCTCTGCTCAGACCCTAAGCTCCTGCCTCCATGTGTCTAGTTCTAAACTTTTCTTTCCTCACCCAAGGTGGGGCAGCTTTCTTATAACCAAACTATGCTTCTGTTGTAGACCCCTTTAAGTGTGCTACTACATATCAATATGCAGGCTGTATGGAATAACTCCAGGAGATGCCCATCACAGACATGGTGTCCTGTACGCACCTTATACACAGCAGCCCCGAGCCTGATAAATTATCCCCTGGTTAACTCTTACTTGTAGCTGCAAGTCTGCAGTATCTTTCCTCTGAATGCTTTCTAATCTTTCCCACAGGGGCTGAATCTCTCTGTCATCACTGAGACTGAGGCTTACAGGCAGGTATTGTTTCTGGAACAGGGGTCACTGACAGATATGTTGGTCCTGAGTATGTGTGGAAGTACTGCAAGGCCAATAGTGGATAGGTACTGAGAAAAGCCAATTTCTACCACATGTCATTTATAATCTTCTCTTCCCCCAGGAGCTGATAGACATGATTCAGAGTTTAGTGCCTAAACATGCCTTGTGCTCCTTTGGAGACTGAAGGTAAAAAGATGTGGCAATGAGTCAATAGGATCTGATGCTTATCTAAGTCAAGATATCTGTGTCTAACTATCTCAGCCATGGATGGTTTCACAGTCACTATGGGTGCCTTTATGAAATCACATTTAGGGTGAGGCCTGGTAATCTGTATGTTGAACCTGCATTTGATTCTCTTGTCCCACAAGAGTTAAGAATTAACTCTCTTGTTTTAAGGTTTCCCTAAGAGTTGAGACACAAGTGCCTCAAGAGAGTAGTGTCTGCTGTTCTGCCACCTACTGCACTGCCACCTACTTCATTACCAGTGTCATGCCCATGGTTTGTGCCCACCCCTGCCCTGCGGCCTCCCAGCCTAAACCTGAGTTCCTCGATGATGCTGGATGACAACTGGTGCTCCCGGATGCGCCCCACATCCTGAGGTGGCTGCCCCACCAGCTCAATAATGGTCACGTGCCGCAGGTCTAGTCCACAGGTGGATTGCTGTGGGCGGAGAGGAGAGAACCTTTAGTGGAACTGACTTTTGCACTTAGACCTACAGCTGCTTGTCTGATTCCTCCTGGTACCACATGAAGAAGTGTGGGAGGGGCGGGGCTGCTCTTTCAATGAAGACACAATCCCAGGATCACAATGAACACAGTAGGAGATCTACACAACCTTTCCCCTCTATCATTCCTGAAGTACTTGCTCGAAAAGTACTCCTTAATTCTCCTGAAGGGCATGAAACCCCTTACAGAATGTAGAGTAGAAAAGAGGAACATAATTACTAAACTGCAGGAACATAATCATTGCTTAGCTTTCCACACTTTAAGCTAGCTAAGATTTCAATGGATGGCTGTTGTAAGATGATAATGGCTACTGTTTGTTTATGTATACACACCTAATGCTTCCTAGGAATCCTTTAATCATTGTAACAAGGCTAACAAGGTGGGCGGTGGAGTTCTTCCTCCAAGGCGGAGAGAGTAAGGCCTAAATTTGCATGGCAATAACATGGTAAGCCAAGATTCAAACTGAGGCCTGATGCAGCCTGCCTGAAGGTGTGCCCTTTACCACTAGGCTACACCTCTTGGGCCTTTTCTCTGTCCTGGGATTTCTCCGAAATAGTGCCCAGTGCTCTTTTCATTACCCTGTCTTGCCTTCCTTGCACTGGGCAGCACACCCTGTAACAGTGCCCTCCCTGGCTCTCTGTCCTTCCTTGTCCTGCAGGATCTTGTACATGCTGATTATCAGGCCGAGGTGTAAAGAGTCATTAGACATTCCCTGGTATCCATTCTTGTTTCGTCTCTGGTCTTCTTCTCTAGTTTTGATGCTCAAAATTAATGTCCTTGTCATGTTCCTGTTCTTTCTCTTGCTACCTATTAAATTGAGCTGTTGCTTTTTCCTGATTTATCTGCATAAAGGGACAAGGGCCTTTTTGGTTTAGAGCCCCAGGTTGATCCTTTTGGCGAAACCACGGCAATCATAGGCCATATTGACCTGGCAACTTGTATGATTCTGCCTTTAGAAACCCCTTCCATAGCTTTGCCTTTTACCTGGTTATCCAGCCCCTTCCAGCTCCACAGTGCTGCTGCTTTCTGTCCTGTCAGTACAGCTTGAATTCTCTTAGCAGCATAGTCCATTTTAGTCCTTTTTATAAATCCCCATGGTCATATCTATTCTGTCCTACCTATGTCTCCCTTACCTGCAAGTGGCTTTGACTAGGTATATCTTAGTATGTTAAAAAATCATCATGCAACTTCCTCATTTTACTTTGGGATATTACAGTACTTTTCCTGCTGGTAGTGGTTGAGAGCACAAATCTTGGAGCCAGGCTACCTGGGTTCAACCCCAGGTCTAACACTTACAATCTGGTGACCTTGAAAAATCATGTCATATGTTTATGCCTCAGTTTCTTCACCTATTCAATGGGGATTATAATCCCTACCTAATAAGGCTGCTGTGAGAATTAGTGGAGCAGTATAAAGCATGTAGATCAGTAACTGGTACTTACACAGCTCTTGCTGTATGTGCTTCGTAGTGTTACTGTTCCTTGAAAACACACGTGGAGTTAATCGCTGCCATTTATGTTTGATCATTGCTACCTTACAGGTCTCTCCAGAATGCTTTGCTGCACTCCCTTTTCAACTTCTGCCCAGTCCTATGCAAGTCACACCTACCATTCCTGTGACCTTATTGTCTTTTCAGTAAAAGCACAGTACTTTTTAATAATGTGCTCCCTGTGTCTCTGGTAAAACTGATCAAAAACCACCCACAAAAAGTTTGAAAGAGCAGGGTTTATGTTTCAGAGAGCAATTATTTGATTTGGAATTGTAAGGGGGTAACGTAAAAGAGTTAAGCCTTCATTAGAGTAGTAGGACTTGCCTGCAGCATAGAGATCTGCATTTTATAATATCGGTTGGAAGGATCAGGAGCTGAGATGATGAGGAGTCGTTGTTTCTCGTAGAATTGATCCAAGAGACCAGCAGCTGAGTTGACATTGACATTAATCTTCATAGCTACGGTAGAAGTGGACAGCCAGTCAGAGTATGTACTTCTTCAACCTGGGTGGCTAACCTAACATCTCAAGGAGTTCCAGTTTTGGGGTTAGCCCTTTGAGTTGTTTCTCCCTTTCCTGGGGAAAAATCCTGAAAAAAGAAACCCAGATGACTTTAATCCTTTTTTCTTGAGGTAGGAGTATTCTAGGGGGGAAAGTTAACCCTCAAAATACATATATCTCAGAACTCTCCGTTCTTCATTATATGCATTGCTATTGGAATCCTTTGCCATGGGAGTGCCTTCCAAAGTAACTCTGATCAACATGTCCACACTCCCGGTTTCCCAGTTTCACTCACGAGTGCAAAAAGGAGGTGATCCTGACCACTGGCGACTGGACTGGCAGACCCGGGAGGGAGTCCCTTGGCGCTCATAGCCGCCATCACAATGGTACTCACAGGTGGCACCATAGTTGTTGCCCGCTGAGGTGCAGGTGAGGTAACCATGCTGTGGTGGTTTCAGAACTGGACAGCGTCTCACTATGAGAGAAGAGCTCAAGTTAGGGGTAATGGTGCATGTTGAAGGTAGGGAAGGCTAAGAAAGTACCCACTTGTGGCTGTCTAGAGCAGGAGACTTGGGATGATCAGAATGAAGGGGTTTTCTATGTTTCCAAAGGCCAGTTAGGGAGCCATATTTTTTCTTAAGAAACTAAATATGAAGTAGAGACAGAGGTTCATAAAGTTTGGAAACACAGGTAAATAAAGATTGTCATCAAAACACTATCAATTTTTCTAAAAAAAATGTTATCTATATTTACAGACTTTATGGCTCTCCCATGTAAAGATGACCATTTTGTAGAATTACTTTTAGTAACAGGAATAAGTCAGAGGAATCATAATGACTGGGAAGGTTTATATAAATCATGACATAGTCTTAGAGTATAATGTTATCCTATAATTGAAAATATTTCTGAAGAATTTTTAAAGAACATGGAAAAATTGCTTGTGATAGAATGAAAAGTTAAAAAAAGTGTTGTCTGTTGGATATAATCCAACAATTTTTAAAGTATGTACAAGGAAAAGACTGGTAGAAAAATATCAAAAGGTTAAAAGCAACTGCCTCTGAATGATGGGGTAATAGAGTTTTCCCTTTTATATATTTATTTATTTTTCAAATGTACAGTGATGCTCAAGAATTATTTTTGTAATGAGAAAAGCAAAACCAAACAATGTCATACAAAGCAAAGAGGAACAATCAGGCACCCACCAACAGTTTCAGAATGAAGATTGAATATATTTGATACTTTTGAAGGCCAAGAAAAAAATAGATACAGAGCATTCTTGTAAATTTTATCTAGATTTAGGAGAATGAGAAAATCTTGTTAGAGAGTTAAGTTTTCTCTAACTTGTATATTCACATGCAATACAGTCTTTCTGAATGAGCCTGTTTGGTAAACTTGAACCCCACGCCCCTTCCCAGTATAAATGTTGTTGTTATTGTTTTAAGACAAGGTCTCGCTACATAGTTCAGGCTGACCTTGAGCTCACTTTGTAGCCCAGGCTGGCCTCGACTTGCAATGATCCTCCTGCCTCAGCCTCCCCAGTGCTGGGATTACAGGCTTGTGCCTCTATGCCTGGCTCCCACTATAAATGAAGTACGTTTCAGGCATAAAGAGGAGAGGATCTTTTGGGGTTTTTAGGTCAGAGTAGAGCAGGAATAATGAACAATATGGAAACCGAAGACTTCTTTCTGACCTTGTACTTTCACAATGAACTTGCAGCTGGCCCGGTTGTAGGCTGCGTCATAGGCAGTGTAACGAATCACATGCTCTCCTTCAGGAAATTGAGAACCAGGCTCCGGGCCACGAAGTGTCACCCTGAGTAAGACAGGGTGAAGGAGCTACTGAAGAAAATGATACTTAGAATTGAGCTCTGAGGCACGTCATCATTGTAGCCTCAGCCTGTGCAGCAGTTTCAGTGTGAGAAGCTGTAGGGCCTAGGAGAAGGTGCAGGTAAGGATGAGTGGCATGTGTGACTTAAGCTCACCTGGTGATGGTACCATCAGCAGAATCTTTCACAATGGGTGGGTCCCAGTAAACTCGAGCAGTCAGTTTCTCTGGCTCTGCCATCTTCTCACGTGAGTGGGGACAACGGATCTTGGGGGGATCAATGTCTGCCATGGTCAAAAAGCAAGTGCTGATTTATAGGTGCCCTGCCTTCCCTAATGGGAACACATTGAAGCAACACCACACACTACTAGGTGGGTTAAAAGTTCAAATTTTTCATGGAAACTGGGGAAGAAATCCTGACTTTAGGGGAAATAATCATTTTATTGCCACACTCACAGTGAACAGGAATGCCCTTTGCAGGTAGAATTCCACATGTTTGAGAACACAGTGGTAGGGTGGCTCTTTGCAGCAAGTCAACTGGGAGTAGCCAGCATTTACCTACACATACAGGCTCGCCTCCACTCCATCGCCCATCTTCCATGCAGATTCGGCTGCGGTCACCCTCTAAGTGGTAGCCTCCGGAACAGCTGTAGTCACAGCGGGAGTCAAGAAGTACCCCATTTGTGCAGGTGTAGGTGCCGCTAGTGATAAATGGTAGTGCATGGCATCTCATCTCTAAGAGAGAACCAAGTAGCAAACACAGTCCTCTATGGGACTATTTGAAGGTGATGCCTGGGCATCTAGCATAGGCAGAATAGGCAGAACCATATCAAAGACAGCAGAAAATACAGAAATCTGACCCAAACTGCCCTTACAATTTTGTTCCTAACTGTTATTTTCCCTAATCATCCCTTTATTTTTATATTATAAAGCACAGAAGCACTATTGAGGAAGCAAGGGGTGTCTCAAAGAAACAAATTACTTGTCTGAGCACTTGAAGTCTGAATCAGACCTGAATATGCATGCCAGCTGCACCTCCTACGTGATTTGTAACTTGAGTCTCATTGTCTTCATCAGTAAAATGTAGATATCAGGCAAGATTGTTGTACAGACCAAAAGAAATGATATGTATAAACCTTTGGGATTATTTAGAGCCTCGGCAATTGTTAGTTTTTGTCTCTTTTTCCTCAAATGCTCTATGCTCTTGAACATGTCTAAAGCTTGTTTTTGAGTATCATTTGGATATAAAGACATTTTTTGGCTGAAACTCACATGCTAGAGTGGGCTAGCTTTCTATCCTGGCAAAATTGGAAGTCAGGCCAGTTCCTTGGGGTCTAGTTTGTGGTATTTGATAAGGGAGGATCATATGCTTTAGACATTATATATGCCAGAGATTGCTAACATAAATTAATTATGAGCCTGTGCATGCTGGAGTCTTGTTTAAGATACCTGATACCTAAAACAAGTAGGGCCATATATTTCTTTAGATTATCTAAATTCTAATCTTATAATTGCAACTGCTGGATATTTGAATAAAGATTCTATATAAACTATATTCATTTTGCTTCTTGATCAAGCCAGACTTGAAGATCATTGCTTTCCTGTTTCCAAGTATTTGTTTTGTAAAGACCTGTGCACAAACAACCACCTCGAAATCAGAGCCAAATAAAAGGTTTGCCTCCTCAGCTGAATCTGTTTGCTTAGTATTATATAACAGTGAAGATATAGATCAAAGCATTTTCTTTTTTGTCTCTTATGAGAAAGGTCAAAAGTAGATTTAGTACTCAAATATAATAATCAACTCATTCTAAGCAACTTGGGAAATACATGTGTTTCTATTCTTTTAACTGGTTTTATGTTCATTTATAAATTATATATATATATATATGTATATATACATATATAAATTACATCCAGGCAATTTAAATTCATTTGGAAAAGTAAGGGTCCTAAGTCCTAAAAGAACTTAATTACAGTCACCCAGAAGGTTGTAGTGACTTCTTTCTTTCTAGCTATCAGGAATCTTGTCTTCTCTGTACCACCTTCTCTGACCAACCTCATTTTTCTCTGAATGCTCAGAACTTCTGCGTCTAGGGACATGACATGTGCACACATTTGGCTTTATGTCCCATTAGTGTATAAACAGCCAGAGGGTAGTTGAAGAATTAAGTTCCTGAAATGACCAATATAAGGCTCTGCACACATGGATATCCTACAGATGGTATTCAGTGATGGACATATGGACAGACAAAGCTTACTCACTAAAAGTAGGTGGGCTGTGGACCTTGAATAAAGGACAAGGATGTGAAAGCTTAAGGGAGACTTGATTTGGGATGTGTGTGTATTAGCATCCCTATATTCTAGCCTTAGGGTGCCCTCTTTTTGACTTACAGAAGAGAATAAAGAATAGCACATGTTTCATAGCTGCACTAACTAAGCTTTCTAAGGCTATAGGCCAGCAAGTACAGCATTTGAACACAAATAGAAGATTGTAGGACTACATATCTTTGGGAATTCTAGAAGGTAGCCCAGGTCCATATCAGGGCCCAGGGACAAGGCTTAGCCTTCTACATGGACTCCTGGGTTTCCTGAGTCAGCAGGGATGGCTGCTACTTAAATGCCCATTTGCTTGGACACTAACCACAGGAACAGAAAATAAAGTAGGATGTAAGGGTGAGAAAAGGCTCTTGGAGGCCTATGGAAAATTTCCACTTTGCACTTGGAAGAACATCACGGTAACACATTTAGGTGTATATTCGCAATGGCTGGTTGGTAAGCTTTTCTCATAGGCACACATCAGCGTATACACACTTATAACTTACGTCTGCAGTAGGCTGTTCCAGACCAACGACGGCTTGGCAGGCATTGCACTGACCTCTGTCCAATCAATCGAAAGCCCCGGTCACAAGTGAGCTCACACCGTGTGCCTAGACTGCTGTGATAATTCCCTCCCCTCGGTGAGTAGCACGTGGCTTCTCCGTCTTGGATACTGAATCTATAACACCACCGAGGGACTGTAGCAATAGAAGAAAAGTAGTGTATTCAAAACAGTATATTGTTGGTGAAAGGGCGGACACATTAGTCAATGAAATACACCCACACAACTATGCCAAAATGATTTTTGACAAAGGTGCAAAAACAATTTGTAAGGTTTTTCAAACAAATGGTGCTGGTGCATATAAAAGAAACAATCTAAGTCTCAAACTTTATACAAAAATTAACTCAAGATGGATGACAGACTTAGATGTATAAAGGAAAGCTATAAAACTATTAGAAGCAAACATAAGAGAAAATCTCAGGGATCTAGAGGTAGAGAATAAGGTCTTAGACATTATACTAAAGCACAATTCATAAAACAAAATGTCTATAAATTTGACCTTGTTAAAATTAAAACCTTTCATTGTGTATAATGCACTATTAAGAAATCATAGACAAGGTACAAAATAGGAGAAAATCTTTGCAAATCATATATCTAGCAAAGGACCAACACCTAGAATACAGATAAAACTATCAAAACTCAGCAATATAATAGCAAACAGAAGTTTGGTAGTTTCCTATAAATGTAACACCAAATGTTCTTAGGAAGAGAGGTTCACTTTCCATATGTCCGTGATATCCCACTTAAGGTATTTACCTAAGTGAAATGAAAACTTGTGTCCATACGAAATTCTGTACACAAATGTTAAAGTACTTGTGGTTTGGGGGTTATTTGCAAGGGGAACAATATAATACAGGACACATATTTTAAAAGATCACTTATAATAATCACCCAAAGAATCATACACAAGAAAGTGCAGAAAATCTGTCCACATACTATAGACCAAGAATCCAGCTGAGGGCTGGATCCCGCGATAATGTCCTGCATGAGTCCAGCTGAAGACCTAGAGCCCATAACAATGCCTCCCACGAATCCAACTGGAGGCCTAGTTTCCATAACAATGTCTCATGCAGGCCTGTTTCATGGATCTGCACTGTGAAGGCCCAAAGGTCAGTGGTGGAAACTAGAAAGTCTGTGCCAGCAGGATGAAGTATCTGTGCTAGCAGGCTGAGTGATCTGAACTGGAGCCAGGAAGTGGTGCTCAAAGTAAGAACCAGAGCTGCCCCAAAAAGTTCCACAACCATCCTCAGCAATAGTGAGGTCCCAAGCTCCTCCGATGATGAGGAAAGCCAACATGACAAGCTTCTGCAGGATACTGGCAGTTCACCATCTTCCCCTCTGGAGCCAGGAAGTAATGCTCAAAGTGTAGACCAGGGCTCCCCCAAAGTGAACCGAAGCTATTCTCAGTACCAACAAGGTCCCGAGCTCTTTAGAGGATGAAAACAGCCAAGTTCATCAGGAAAGCCAGCATGATGAGCTCCTCCAAGAGAACCAACAGCCTTCCTCAGATCCCAGCCTTCCTCCTTCTTCTCCAATTCTGCCTCTTATGCTGCTGCCAACAATCCCCAGGTGAGCCTCCCACGCCCAGCACCATGCTTACTCAGTTCAGCTGGGGGTTATAAGTTGACCACCAGTTGTCAATCCACCACAATACTTTTATTAATAATTGTTAAATGCTGGGAACAACTCAAATATCTGTGGGTGAATGGTTAAACTAAATGAGGTTTATACATTTGGTTCTTCTTCTTAGGAGAGAATATTTTTTATGTCTTCTATTCTGAGTAAGTACCTTGAAGATAGTGATACAAAGTGTATTAACTATTGTTATTCTCTTATTATTTTGTTATGGGATTTTTATTTTTTCATAAAATAAAAAATATAAAAAAAGAATGAAATGCTTACATATGCAACAACATAGATGAATCTCAAATACATTTTAGGAAGTTAAGGAAGGCAAACTCAGAAGAATACATACCATAGTATTCCATTTATATGACAAAGACATAGGGGCACATATAGGCAAAAATACAAGGGCAGATTACAGATCAGTGCTTGCCAGAGATCAGTGGTAGCAGTAGAGGATAACCCCAAACGGGCAACACTGGGTAAGTTTTTGAGAAGATGGGACTGTTTTATACTATGGTGGTAGGTATCTCACTTCATGCCTCTGTGAAAACTCACAGTACTCTACATCAAAGAAATAAATTTTACTATAGGAAATTTAAAACAAATAGTTTTTAAAATAACATGAAAATGTAAATTTGAGAAAAGGGAAATGACATCAAAAAACTCTGCTTCAACATAAAAGTCTAATCACATTTCAGTTCTGAGTACAAAAGGTTACATGGCCATTACAACATAAAGGCATCATAAAGATGCTTCATTGGCTCTTACAAAATAAATGTCTCCTCAGTGGGTTTTGGTTTCAATGGGACATATAAAAACCAAAGAAAGGCCACCTGCCCAAAGATGTTTACATAGCATGGCACGGATGTGCTTGCCTAGGGTTGGGAAAGCTAAAGCCCCATGTAAGCTGATTTGATTCCAAAATCCTAGGGATAAGAAAGTGAAGCCTTACATAGAAAGTACACTAGAAGCTACAGGAATAAAGGGAGGCTAGAGCCTTTGCTTGAATGCAGCTAGAGAATGAAGACAGATGACAGTGAGAAAACTGTTCTTCAGCCAGCACCGCACTTGGGACTTCCACGGTTAGTTTTGATCCTGTGGCAGTGACAGGATTTGTATCTGGAGACACTGACACCAACTCCAAAGTACAAAGTTTCCTAAGCACTGTGTTGCCGAACTGTCACTTATAAGGCCACAACACATCGCAGAGACCTTATATGGCAGACTGAGACCTCAACAATCACTTCCATTTTATTTCTCCCCTGTATTCTATCAAGAAAAATACGTCTGGTTAAAACTGATAGAAGAAGCAACATGGTAAAGGGAAATATAAAGTTGAAGGTATGGGGCTGGGGATTTAGCTCAGCGGCAAAGCGCCTGCCTGGCAAGCGCAAGGTCGGGAGTTCGGTTCCCGGTACAGACAAAAACAAAAACAAAACAAAACAAAAAAAAAAAACAAAGTTGAAGGTAAATACTGAGGCAGTAAGAGAGGCCAAGCCACTGTAAATAAGTTCAGTTTTGCTGGCCCAGAGGAATCCTGGCATAAAGACAAAATATTGGAAGGCTGGAGAAAAGCAAAACCACAATTTTCAAATAAGGAAGAAGAGCCTCTGGGAACTTTGGCCTGGTGATACAGCACTGATAGTATACTATTCTAGAGTGTATGAAGGTGTTATTAGTGGTTAGACAGAGAAGTGCTGATCTCTAGGAGCCCTCAAGAACAAGTAATACCAGACTGCCTACATTTCTAATTTGGGCAGGGCCACCAGGCCGGTAGAACAGGGGAGATGGGAGGTATGTTATGTGGAAGCAAATGAGGCACATGACAATGCTTTTCATGCCAGTGATGTGGCTCAGAGGACAAAATACTGGAGAGGTGCCAAAATGGTTGAAGAGTTTCATAAACGGCTGGACGACTGCACTCAAAGAATACTGACTAGAAACTGAAAGTAACAATGTGATTAGATACTGCGTACAACAATGTGTGCTAGGAAATGGGTTCTCTGTATGGAGTATTTTCCCTACCTATGTACCATGCTATATACTTTTCTTTTTTTATGTTATCTCATATAGTCGTCTCACATCCCTTTGAGGTAGGGATATGTTTATCTCTGTTTGTCAATGAGGAAGTAACTTGCCCACAGTTCCTCAGCAAGTAAGGAACAGGGCTGAAATTTGTCTGCTCTAAAAAATCCGTGTTTCTAAGAATACAATTTGCCATTGCAGCTGCTTTCTTGAAGTACATATAAACTGACCTCCTTTTGGGAGAAGTAGTATATCCACATGTTTCAAATCCCAGTTACTCAGTAAAATGTTCCTCTCTCAATCCTATGCCCATGCCTACACTCACTTTGTCTCCTCCCAAAGAATCACTATTAACAGTTTCTTTATGCATATACTGTAAATGTTGGTAGAGTGTCTTATTGTGCCCTTCTTTTAAGCACATAGAATAGCATATTATGCCTACTCTTCCTACTAGTGTTTATTCAGGAGGGTGCTAAGGATGGAATGCAGGACCTTGGGATGCTAGGCAAATACTTTACCATGGAGCTCCATCCCCAGCTCTCTCCTTTGCTTCTTAAAATAAACTGAACAGTGTATTTTAAAAGATCTTTCCATATTATTACACAAAGGCATTCAATTTATTTCAATTAAATCACATTTGTAATATACTGAGTTCAGTGATTGGCATATAATAGGTATTTGTCCTGGATCAAAGAGCTGGAAAGGTTCTCTTTTTAGGGCATATAAAGAAAAGAAAGCACTGACAACAGGGTTGAAAAGGCCTTTCCTGTGATTATCTTCAGATAATCCAGGCAAAACGACTAGTTTGCCCAGGGCTGAAACAAGCTGTGTGGGGAGCAGCAGCGCAGCAGATTGAGGTTGCACCTCAGAGAAGGGTTTCTGACCCTGAGCTAGGTTTCATGATAAGGTAATGACAGGAAGTACAAGATTAATGAAAATGATACCAAACTGCGTGGGTAGTTTACTCTACAATAATGATGTGCTTTTAATTGGTTAGCTCTTCTTCTCATCTTTTGAAAACAATGAGTTACATTTTTAATAAAAGACATGGAAAAACCATGCTTTTAGATCTGAGTTTAAATTCTTGCTCTGTCACATCTAACCTCTGCAACTCTAAATTTAAATTCCCTTAGTTTAGTTTCCCGATCTGTGAAATGGGGGATAATGAACCATTAGCCACAGCCTTAGGACTGTGGTGAGAATCAAATGACATTTGTAAAATATCCAGCCCTACAAATAGTATTTCCTAAATCAGTGTCTGTGTTTAAGACACTGTCTCACCTGTTTTCAGGAGACAAGACACTGTGGCTTGCTTCCAGCATTATTTTCTGGCATGTTCCTGTGACACACAGCTGCCAACTCAAGAGTCTCCAAATGACAGAGTGTTTTAAAACACTACAGTTGCAGAACTGTTGATTATGAGGTCACAAAGGCCTTAGAGGGGAGTCCAGGACCTCATTTTGTAGTTTTCCTGGCCACTCATCATTGATAACCTCATTTAATTTGTTGTAGGTGCTGAGGTTAGAATTAGACAGCAAGACTAATGCCACTATGTTAGTTGCATTTAAAAAAATGGCTTAATGGTGATTTTTTTTAAAAAAAAATCCTTCCAACTAGGATTCCAACTAGGATTTTTAAAAAAATATCCTTCCAACTGCCTATAGGATATCTTTACCAAACCAGTTCACTTTCATAGCCTTGCCTTCTGAGAGGAATCTTATAATTCTCCCAGGTATTCCAGGGTCATGCTAAGCTGCTAAGCTGCCCAGGCTGGGGTCAAACTTGCAATTCTTTTGCCTCAGACTTCCAGAGTGCTGGGATTACAGGTGTATGCCACCATGCCCAGTTCAGACACTAGTTGCTTTCATGATGTACCTCATGATACATCAGATCTGTAACAGGTCTTGTCAACCCCTTCTTTGAATATTTCTGGGGTACCTTCTTTCTTTATTTTTCATGCCATTCTGGGGATGGAACCTGGGCCTTACACAAGCTAGACAAGTATTCGACCACTGCCTTACGTCTACAGCCCCTCTGGAGCATATCCTTACTCTCCATTTCTTTGCCACTACCCTCAATAATCTTTAGCCAACTTTACCATAACTGATTCCTGGAGAAACTGCCTAACTCAGGCTCGATGCCATTTTTTAATTAGTGTTTGTTTGTAACACATTACAGCTATAGCTACATTTGTTTGGGGGAGATTGGCATATAGAAGAAACATATCTTACGTTCAATCTCTTTATCCACCCCAAACCTATGCTCCCTCCTTCCCTCCTCCTTATCCCATTCCCCATCTCCAACAGGTCTGTTTTTTATTTCCTATACCTATCGTTCATTTAACTCTTTTTTATGTTTTATATTTCTCTCATATAAGAGTAACCACATGACATTTGACTTTCTATGTCTGACTTATTTCTGTTAATATTATGGTTTCAAGTTCGATTCATCTTCTGGCAAATGGCACAATTTCATTCTTTTTTCTGACTGAATGGTATTTCATTACGTACATATACCACATTTCTAGCCACTACTTTCTGAGCAGAATAACCAGGTTAATGTTCTGAAATTACCATTGACGTGTCACTCCCTTGTACAAAATTATGATGGCTCCTTATAGCTCCTAGTACAACAGCTACATTGTTATGAGTGGCTTGCCAAGCATAGAAACAGAGAATCAGAAGTAGAGAGGATATTAGATATCACTGGACCTACTTTTCCTTCTAGTGCAGGAATCATTAGGATTCTCATGGGCAGTCCACCTGCCTTACCTTAATCAGGTTCCTAGATCGTGGAGGCTTTCTGAATTTGATTTCACTTTATGTTCTACTTTGTTCTCTACTACTTGCTGCATATTCCATCACCTCTTGTCAATCTTGTTTCTTCTTAGCTCCCTCCTCTAATGGCTTTCTTCTTACCTCTATATCATTGGCCATCTGCTTTGTCAAATGTCCTCTCCTCCACTTTTCCACTCTCAGATTTGCACTCATCATTCGATGCCTAGCCTGTCCTCTTTCGTGATCCCTTCTTCTCTTCTTCTTAACTCCTATCACATTTACTGCTGCCACAGAGCTTCATACTTACTTGTCCTATATGTGCTAATTTCATCCGCTCTTAATGCCCCTCCATAGAATGTGAACTCCTTCAGTGGAGCTAGCTTCTATCTTAGACTTTGTATCACCCAGGACTTACTTAGGCATAGAGTAGGTACTCTGTCAATACTTAATGATTAATAATAAATAGGCAACCTGCATGAGAGAGAGGTAAAGTCATATAGCGAGTCAGTAACCTAGTTCATGTTTAGCAGTCACAGCCCCTGTCCAGTGCTGCAACTGACACATGTAAGCCAAACCTGGGTAAACATGCTTCAAGGAGGGGCCCAAGCCTCAGGCCTTCCCGAACCGGAGAAACAGTGAGGATTACCTTGGTAGTCTAGGCGAGGAGCCTGCGGGACCTCTTCTGTATGTACTTCATTGTAGCTTTCATCTGGATAGTAGCCTGAACCTAGAATAAAGAAGACAATATCAAGAATGTGTTGGTTTTCTCACTCAGGAGCTTCTCACCTCCTCCCCAGCCCCCATCTTTGTATTGTCCTGTGCACCGCATTGGCAGGCAGGCAGGTGACTTGTAAAAGCTGAAGAAATATACTGTGTGCACCTCAGCATATCAGAGGGCAAGTTCATGGTTGGCGTCAGTGGTAGCACTAGAGGATTCCTTTCAAAAGAAAAATAACTGAATTTCTTGACCATCTATCAGTTGTGTGAAACTTGATTATGAATGATCCATTTTTCTTGATATAACATACACGTCTTATGAGACACTGATGACCAAATTCTGAAGATGGACGGTTTTTCTAGGTAGGAGGAGAAAATAGAGTCTAAGGGTCCTCCAAAGTCCTTAGAGGAAAACAATCACTCAAGCTCCCACGACCCCACAGGGCATGAGCATTGTCACCTGATGGCCCTTGGTGGGGATGGCATGCTAAGGCACAAAGGATGGCTCAAAAGGCAAGAAGGAACGAGTATAGTGTCATGAGCATTTTTTCTTGGCTTGGAGAAAAGAGGAGGGAGACGTTTTTACTTTTTGGCTGTGCTGGGGAATTGGTACCAGCCTTAAGCCTGCTATGCAAGCACTCTACCACAGAGCTACACCCCCAGCCTAAGTCAGAGTCCTTTGAATAAATTTCTGTTCATTTAATGAACAAGAGCTTTGGCAGCAAGCTGATGAGCTAGTGAACATTCCTAATCCACCTCTATCTAGTTAAGCAGCCCAGTCCCTGTTGTGCGCAGGTCTGGGGCTGTCTGGGAGACTAAACAGTTTGTTCCACCAGATGGCAGGAACTCGGTCATGAATACGAACTAACTGAAAATCAACTTGGTCATTTCTGGAGTGAAGTCTGTGGAAGCCTTTGTCTAGTCTTCCTGAGCTCTAATGTGAGCACAGGAATGGGGCAGCAAGCCTTGCTGAAGCCCGAAGACAATTCTCCATTTCCAGGAGTCTGTGCTTCCAGGACAGGGCTGGGTTTTGGTGCTGGAGCCCATTAGCCTGTGTAAACAATCAGACCGCAGGTCTGAATCCTCTCTAGGAAGAGCCACAGGGCCCCCTGCACTAAAGGGTGGAGCACAGGGCTAGATGATGTAGCTTCTCTGTTCCTCACAGGCCCAGACAGGGGGTGTGGGGGGAATTGGGAAAGTAGTCTAACTTGGTGAACAAGGGAATGAATCAAATTGAAGGTTTGCCTTATGAAATCATGTCTTTGTTGGTTTGCCCTCATTCCAAAGGAAAGAGTTCATTTTAAAATTTTTCTTTTTTTTTCCATTTCCCATTTTGGTTTTTCTGGATTGCTTTTATTTCTCCTTAGGCCTTGTCTTCCTTGGGTTCTCTTTTCTCACATGGGAGGATATTTTGTGAGGCATGAAATTCTTGTCAGCTGTTTCAGTTTAGGATTAGGTTCAAAGCTTTACAGCTCCTGTAAACAGGAAGCCAGATGTATGTGATTTCCTAAAATATTAGGTCTCCCCACTCTGTTAAAGGGTTAGCTTGTGAGAAAATGCTCAGCAGGGAGGAAACACCTGTTTACTGGAAGCAAAAACAGAAGCCTGTAGCCGGATAACAATAACAATAACAGCAAGGATGACTGCTAACATCACTCAGCTCCTACTCTGTGTTAAGCATATGTTATCTCATTATGTCACCATAGCATCTTAATGGGTACACATGAAAAAGCAGGTGCAGAGGAATTTAGGGAGTTCCCCAAGTTCTCCCAGCTAATAAGTAGCAGAGCCGGCATCCCAGCTCAAGTCTGTTTGACTCCTGTATACCAAACTTCAACAGTAAAAGTGGCAGTAAAGAGGAGCTTTTGACAATGGCTTACAGGGAAAAATATTTCCTGCAATCCATCTTTTTTACTCTTTGTGTGCAGGACTAAAGGCCATCAAGCACTTTACACTTTTCCAGAATGACAGCAGATGTTGGAAAACTGAGGGAAAGACTTAATTAGATAATAACAATGACCCATCAGATTGGGAAAGTAACTAGCCCACTGACAGTTTTCCCTTGTGCCAGGAATGACTTGGGCCACTTCACCACCTTTAGCTTTTCAAATTCTCCTCTAAATCTACCTTTGAGTATTTTATGCATGCATTAGGGTGCTAAGGTTGGGTGTACGAATGAAACTAGAGGGGCACACTCCTTACACTATTCCATCTGTTTACCCTTCAGCCTTGGGAGGGGAAGGGCTTGAACAGTATTTTTCTTTCTTTAGATCATTCAGTCGTTGGTTTCTGATGCTCTGTTACTAAGTTTCTCCAATTTCGATAGCATAGGCAGACCCTTTAGGCACTGTTTTTTCTAAATGTATGGTTGGAAATGTAATTGGTAGAGGAAGTCTATTTTTAGATCAACATTAATGCTTGTTTCATAATGACAAATACAGTCTGACTTCTTGGACTGAACAGATATGCCGGTACTCTTTGCTTAATTTATATTCTTAAACCTTCCTACTCTTTAAGATTAATCTTGGGCCCTTTTACTGACTGCTCCTGAATCTACAGTTGGCCGCTTTCCTTTTGCCATTTCCACTTGAGTATGGGGCTATAGAGTGAATAAAACAGTCCCGGGTGCATAGGGACTGCTCAATATTTGTTCAATGAGTGAATGAACAAATGAATGGAGGTAACCCCAGCTGCTGAGCTAGCTATGTAGAGGATAATCATAGGAATCCCAAACGTCCCTCACCATGTAGTCAAGTAAGGCTACAGAAACCTCACCACCCTGGACTCTTGACCAGAAGTAGTGACCCTGGTTACTCAAGTGATATAAGGAGTCCCTCCTTTGCAAACAGCTCTTTGAGAACTTCAAATGAATCTGAGTTTTAAAATAATGACATTGTATTCAGAACTCAAACAGCTCAGGCTTTTGTCCCAGGAAAGGCAAAAGCCTTTGCAAGCAAGGTTTCATACAGGTGTGCATAACTGGGTTTTGAGCCACCTAATCTCCACTCCCTTGGGCCAGTGGTCTTTGGCCGGATTTTAGTTTTCCACATTTAAAGTGAAGCTAGAGGGAGGTTGGGAGGACAGATGCATATTTATCTCCCGGAGACCTGGGGCTCCTTTGCCCCCAGTATGTGCTTTGCCAAGGGCTTGATTTGAATTTCTTCTTCTCAGTGTCAGCCCTTGTGCTTCATCCTCTATAAATCCAGGTTAAACCAAAAAGGGAAAAAGTTTGCATGTTTATTCGAAAAGTTGATCCAGCTGTTCCAGACAAACAACACTACTGCCAAAGGCCTCCATCAGGAGCTAAGAACATGTGGAAAATTTTAGCTTGCAGTGACTGTGGCTATGCTGGGGGAAGTTTGTTATTTATTCATCTTTGGATGTTTTCCTAGCCCTACTGGTTGGGCCTGTCTCATTTCCCCAAACTCCGCAGCCCCTGGGAGGCCAGAGACTGCAGGCCACAGAATATTCTTAGCGCTTGGAATGCCGGCTGGGCCTCATCAAAAGCCTGTCAGCTCATTATCCTTCCCTCATCCCTCCCCTTCCCTTTCTCATCTCCTCACTGCGTTTCTTCTTCACTCCCTGTGTCTCTAGAGGTTCAGAGTGAAACATTCAGGAATCTGGAAAAGTCCACCCCTTCTGAAATAAGGAACAAGCCAGAAAAAACTGGGGAATTCCTGATTAAATGACCGGTATCAATGTCATTAACAGCTTTAGCCAGAGGGGGCCCTAAAAATCTCATAAACAAGGTCCGGCAGGGAAGAAAAAAGGGAAAGAAGAACTGTGATGGATCCATGTTTTCTTTAAATAGTTTGCCTGTCTCTATTTATTTTTCAATGAGATGTGTAGTCTAAGTACTATTTCTGTATTCTTTAAAAGGGTATTTGACTCACAAAGGAATTAGTGTTAATTAAGATTTGACTCACAGAAGACTTACTAGAAAAAAGGTTTTCCAGAGAGTTGAGTACAAAACAGTTGAGACAGTAGCCTCAAAGACCGTGTTTCTAAACCTTCATTTTTATTCCAGCACATCCTATTTTCAAATAGCTCTTGTTAGGGTGCCTCAAAGGCATTCCTTGGTAGCTGTTGCAATGGCTAGTAATATTTCTTGTCCTTTAATAGCTTTTATCTGTATCTAAAATAATAATCTCTCATTGTAGTGTACTTGTTGTCCAAGTCCTGGTGTTAGGCCCTGACCTTCTTGGAAGTAACAGACAACAGCTTCTACCACTTACCTGCATACCATGTTGGTGTCACTGTCGGAACAAGGAAGAGCAGCAGAAAGAGAGCTCCTCCTCGAGTTAGCTGAGCAGCCATCCTTGCGAGGAGGGGTTAGGGAAACAAGAATAGGGCTACGGGTCTAGAAGTACCAGAGTGAGGAAAATGACTTTCAGAAGTCAGCCATCTATGAATTTCCAAAAGTGGGAGGAAGCAGAAATATGGGATCTGTGAGGAAAAAGAGAAAGTTTAAAATTAATGAGTGCGTGTTATATCACCCTTCTCATAAAGATTTTCTACTTTATAGAATAATAATTCTCTTTGTTAGTTGTGGTGCCTTTGCTGGTAGAGTCAGATGCAAATGTACCATGGTCCAAGTTATAGGGAGGGACATTGCAATACCTAGAGCAGGAAAAGGCTGATATAAAGTCATGCAGAACCAGGGCAGAATCTGACCATGTACAGGCTGCCAGTGAATGGTTTTCCCCATCCAACTAATATTTCCCAATCACTAATCTGGGGACATATTAGCACATATGATCTAAGAACTCTGGAATCACACAGATCTGGAGATAAATCCAATTCTGTCACAACTTATTTGAGCCTCTGTTTTCTCATCAATGAAATGGAAATAATAGTCGCATTATTTAGCCTGTAACACAACAAAGGAAATCAGTATGTTTGAGATGATTATTACCAACTTCATACTAGACAGGACTGGATATTTGCCTTTTCTAGTCTCACAGGCAGTAACCAGACCTCGGCTCTGTTCCTAGCACTGGGTTTTGAGGCTTAGTGGTTTGGTAGTGCTTATGGTTTGCAGCTCCAGCCTAACCTTCTAGTTTTTATCCCGCTGAGGCAGCAGGAAGTCAGAGAGGTTGGGAAACCTGTTGAACTCAATGAAGAGAGGGTGAGCAGTCTCCAACTGCCCTCTCACTTCCCATCCTGTCCTCATTCTAATGGGGTGAGAGCTTTTTGTGGTTCCCTGTGGGAAGATACTTAGTAAATATGAGTATTAAAACTTACCACCATTGGTATAAATTGGCCACTGAACCTTTCAGCAAGCACCCATGTACCCATACACCTTCAGTGAAATGCAGTGCTCAGAGGAGGAGTCAGTCCCAGGAATAGAGAGAAAACGATAGAAGATTCTGGCCAGAGTCTCTAAAGGGACATGCAAAGTCCAAGAAAGGCAAGAATTCATTTCTCAGTTCATAGATACTTGGCTTTGCAATTTATCTAGAGAGAGGCAATTAAATGAGATAGAGAAAAAAGTGAGAGAGCACGAGGGAAGTAAGGAAGGTGAAATGATGTGGAAAGGATGCTAGAAAGAAAGGAAAATCTGATAGCTAAAGATAGGAGATGGATTATAGAAAAAGGTAACAAAAGGACAAGAAAGAGACTCAAGGAAGCTCCAGGACAATGAACAACTAGATAATCACTGACACTTTCTCCACATCTAGGCTCGATTCTGTTAGTTTGTTCTTGAGCAGGAGCTTTGCATTTTTCAGAGCAGATACTGTGCTCTGAGTCTGGGACCCCTTACCTGCCCACCTCCTCCCTGATCTCAGATTGAAAATGTGACTCACCGGAGTCAGCCAACTCTCTGCTGTGGGTCGAGAAGGCAGTGGGAACATGTGTCTGCAGCCAGGTCACGGCACAAGCAAAACCAGAATAGGATCCAATTTCAGAAAAGAGCTTCTTCCCCTCTTCAACTCGCAGCCCTATCATCCATCTTCTGGGTCTCTTTATCTCCTAATGCTGTGAAACAGGGGAGTGTAGTGTGGGGAGTTAATTGCAGATCTTACCTGTTTATAGGGTTTTTTTGTTGGTCTCTTTCTCTTCCTCCTTCTCCTTTCTGTCTGTTCCTCTCATAAGTCGGAAAAAAAAATCTTCTACTTTAATATTCCTACAACGAGTGGCTCCTGGTCTGTTCCAGCCTCCAGGATTCTGTTAACACTGCCCAGATGTTAATACTTCCACATCTGCCAAAAGTTGCCTTAAAGGTATATTATCCGCAAAGCTATAGCTCGTCCTCCCTAAGAGAAGGGTTTTGGAGAGATGAGGGAGAAGAATCAGAAGGATTAGAGGAACTCAGTCTGTCTGCTGTGGAACAGGGGGAAGTGTGAGTGGGACTGGCCACAAGCCCGTGCGTATAGTGATGACTAACAGGCTGGTTGAAGGGCTTCCAGAGCAGTGCGTCGCTGGGGAACACTACTTCTTATTACTCAGTATGACATCAGGATTGAATGAAGAAGAATTTCACAAACTCCAATAAGAGGGAGGGCAGTTTGATTGATTTCAAAATTCCCTGGAATTTTCCTCTGTAATTCCTTAGTACTCAAACTCCAAGTTGCTTTGCTGTCCATATGGTACAGGTCAGACCCAGCCTAACACCCTAATTTTTCTGGACCTCAGTTGCTAATAAGATTATGTTGTTTACACAGTATTACCAAGTACTCGTGTGTGTGTGTGTGTGTGTGTGTATGTGTGTGTGTGCGTGTAGTGTAGTGTTGGGGAACAAAATCAGGGCCTCAAACATGTCAATCAAGCATTCCCTCATCAGCCTTACTATGCACTTCTTGCCTGAAGGCTCAAGACTGATTTCTCGTGCTAAGAATGGAGGGAAAGTGTGCCTAGAGAGGCTTTTAGGGGAGATTTTTAAGTGAATCTAAATTATATGTGGATGGCAAAGTGGAAGCCATTGCTAAGCTGTTTTCCAATGGTCTCTGACAGAGGCTATGTTTCTCTTCACTACGCAAGGTTTCTTCATCTACAGCTGGTAATGAAATTATTCTTGCATAGTAGAGACCAACTCCTTAAATTCTTTTCTCTTCACAGTTTATGTGTCTATCTCTCAAAAAGTCAGTGGTTGTAAGTGAAAAAAAAATAGCTGTGGTAGAAAAGCTTTCTTTCCTCTGTACACAAGCAAATTGGTAACCCTTTCTTGTCATCAAGGGAAGAATTGTGCTTACAATAATACAAAGATCAGGAGCACACCTGAATCTGTTTGATTTCCAAATCACCAATAACAAATATGTACTGAATATCTACCATTGTTCAACAGTGTGACAGCAAATTAAAGAAGCAGAATACATGATCTCAGCCTCATTCATTCGATAAATTTATCAAGCATCTAGTGTGTCAAGGATGGTGAACATAATGAGACTGACAAAATCCCTTACCTTTTAATATATCTAATTAATTCAACAAATATTTGATAAGCATCTATAATAAATGCTTACCTTGATGCCACACATTGTTTTAGGTACCTGAGAGGCATCAGTGAAGAAAAGAAATGAAAATTGCTGCCCTTATGGGATGGAGGAGAGACGTTGAACAAAAATTTTTCTTTCAATTCTGTACGTTCAGGGAATCTTTATTGGTCATCTACTATAAGGCAATCGTTGGGAATACAATGATGAACATGGAATATATGAAAGGAAGGAAGGGAAAAGAAAAAAATGCAAAAAGAAGGGTAAAATGGAACCAAAGTTTTTGTAAATAAGGAGGGGAAGACAGGTTGAGGGGAACGGAGGGGAATGGGAAAAAAAGAAGAATCATGTACAAGTACAGATTCCCTATGATGAATGTGATCATTATGCATAACTAAATTGTACCAATAAAATTAATTAATAAAACAATTTAATATGAAACCTCTCAGCAGTCACTGAAGTTTACTTTTAAAACTATATTAAATACAGAAACTGACTTCTCTATTCGAGTTCTCAGCAAAACACGAAGAGGTTAGACTAGAAACAACTTTTTTAGAAAAAATGCTTGGAATTCTGAATTCTGGTACCATTCAAAAATACTTTTAATTTCTATGTGCCATGAATTATATATTATGAGCTTTTTTGAGAAGAAAGTAAGATCAAGGATGAAAATGAGTCATAGAAACTCTGACAAGAGTTTATGGAAAAAAGTAAATGAAAAACACAGAAGAGAATTTCAGAAAATGAATAAAGGCAAAAAATGAGAGACAATAGGAAATAAAAAGACATTCCTATTGAAAAAACTAATTTTTAAAACTATAAACATGGATTAACCAATGAAATTATAAGGTATTAGATGGCTGTAACATGCAGTATGAGATTTTAAGAAAATAAATAGGAGATGATTTTAAGTTTCATAATATGCCCTTAGGCAAAGGCAGTTGAAGGGATACTAGAAAAGGAATTAGGAAATTAAAATGGTAAGACTATTATGTGAATGACAGATAAAACGTATTCTGACAAGTGTAATTTAAAGGACAATAGGGAAGGAATTAAAAAATGAAAATGGTAAGGTTATGATAGGAATAACACATAAAATGTGTTCTAAGTGAAATGCCTGATGTCTTTTTACTAGTTCCTAACAAACAGAATAGGAATGTTTCAAGGCGTTATCTAGCAGTGTTGGCAACGAGTTCCTTTAGAAATGGCTCATCAAAGAAAAGTATTCCAGGTCCTTCTCATCTTGAAAAAAGAATTGAGCAAGAAAAGCCAAAATGGTGCTAAAAGTTTATTTGAAAATGAGGTGTGAAGGGCTAAGGGAAGAACTAGCTCTGTAGAGCCAATCTGGGCTGAACAAAAGAGAGAAAGGAAAAAAAGGGCAAAAATAAAAGTACATCCTGGTTGTAACAGACCCACAATGGGCTTATTCTAAAGAGTCATGATAATGAGCTCCTGGTAGCATCTGTGTCCTTATATGCAGTCCACATCTTGTGAGAACTCATAAGAAGTTCTACGTAGGGGTCCTTAGAGCTATCTAGCTCTGCCCTGGGGTCTTGTAATTTACAGGTCCTGCTCACTTCACTAACCAGCTTTGCCATACCCTATGTCCTATATCAGCAGCTCAATTTAATATTCCTGTGCTATGACAGTGTGATAGCAAGATGGCTTAGACATTTAGTTTTTATTTCATTTAAATAATCAGTCCTTGTGAAACTACTACTAAAGAGCAGCCATGCTTTAATGAACAATGGGCTCAACAGGGATTGGTTGAGCATCTAGTGAGCTCATCAATTGAGCATTGTCTCCTAGGGCACTGAGGAGAACATAAAAGGGGTGTGGAAATGAAAAGCAAGTACCGCAGTGTTATGGTTGATACATTGTGTCAACTTGGAGGGCTTTGGCTAAGTGACTCAGCAGTTCTGCATCTTAAAGTGAAAAGGACATGCCCTTACCCTTCTGGGATGTTGTTCATTGTGTTAACCTGAGAGGTTTAGGAGGTTAACTATGTGACTCAGCAGGGATCCTGGGTGCTTACTTTGTATCATCCTGAGCCTGTGCAAGAGGAGGGCCTGGAGATTATGTGAGTGCTACATGCACCCTGGGTGGGGGGAGCTTGCTCACAATATAAGGGGGGGAAAGAGGCTTGCTCTTCTCTGCCACTCCCCCCTTTTGCTCTTGTTGCCTTTGCTATCTTCCGCTTTCATGAACTGTTGCCCTCTGCCATGGGCCACTCTGCCTTGGAACCAGCCAAGTATGGACTGAAACCTCCATAAACTGTGAGCTAAATAAACCTTTCCTTCCTTCATTTTGGATGCCAGGTATTTTGTCCCAGCAATGAGAGAAAAATAACCAAGACACGCAGTAACTGATAAAGGCGTGAGTTAATGTGAGTATGCATTCAGACTCTGAGCACTAATGCTAGGAACAGGGGTGAGTCTGTGAAGGGAGCATGTTCTCCATGAATTGAGATGAAGGTGGACATTGAGTAGAGGAAAAAATGTTGAGGTTGGAGAGTGGGCAAGAAGTAGAGGACAGGCCTTGCTTACTGGGAGGATAATCATATTGGTTTGATGTAGACAAAAGATATAATAGAAAAGCAGTGGGAGACAGATTAAGATTGTGCTGGAAGCTAATGGTTAGCAGGGGTGGCACAGGGGAGGGCTGACTTAAAAGTGAGCTCTTGATAATATCATTCTCTTTGCCTAAGATTTTGAAAAGAAAACCTCTTAAAACCAAATATTGAAAGTCACAGGAAGTTAATAAAGAAGGCACGATAAATAATCCTTACTAAATGTTCACTATAAAGCAACCTTACTAAATGTTGAATATAAAAGAAGTATTTTCCCCTTTTCCTACATTGTTGGCTCAAATGTGTTTTTGTGCTCAGAAAGGGAGGAGATTAAGAGATTGAAAGAGAAAAATCAGTCAACTCTTTCTCTTGCCACCAAGACAAGAAGGGTTACATCCAAGGTGATTGGGCAATCAGATTGAAGACAAAAGTAAATGCAACATCAAAAACAAGAAATCCCCAAGAACAAGGAAGAATTGGGTAATAATCAAGCTCCTTATGCTCTGGGGGCTCCAGAGAGCCCTTGTTTTTAGCTAAGTGTCTAAGTTATTCCAAGCCAAGAGGGCTGTACCACAGCAGCCATGTCTCACCACAGAGTGGGTCTTGTTTCTGATGAAAGAAACAGAATTGGGCTGAGCTTAGTCTGAGGCAAGTTACTTATCTTCTTTCAACCCATTTCTTCATTTGTAAAATGAGGGCAGGGTAGTGCTGACATCATAGTAGGGATTTTATAATGTATGAGGTAACAGGTATTAAGCACTTAGCAACAGTGGCTGGTACACTGTGTTCACTCTTACAGTGATTATGAATATTTTAATAAATGAGTTTATCCCTTTGATTTGAGTTTGGACCTTGCTTTAAATTAAACTGAATCTCTGGGTTTGATAGCATGGTGCAGGAGGAGCATGAAGTGGGTGTAGCACGGTGAGATGCACTGGTGTAAGGTGTTGTGGCTATAGGAATATTCATTTCCATGCCAGCATTTGGTTTAGCTTGGCACTGACTGTTGTTCAAACAAAGCAGCGTTGTGAGTGGCAAAGGAAGGGAGAGGGAGAAAGTCAACATATTCGTGGAAGTGTGATGTGGCTTTTGCTTTAACTATTTTATTTTTCTTTAGCCACAGAATATTTCTTTGCTCTTAGGCTAACAATGAAAATCACTTCCAGGATATGATACAAACCTAAGCTTCAGTGGAAGCATTCTGTCTGAAATGACAAGGAGTTAACAAGATTTCGCCCTGCATATTTGTTTTTAGTACAAGGACCTTTCAGTTAGGGTCATTTACCCTGGAGAGAAAGCTTTGCGTGTATCTCCCCCGCGCCAGTCTCCTCTCCTGCAGATGTGCTGTACATGGCATTTCAAAAGTTGAATGCCA